GTTATTTACAGAACAAGTCTCCGTGCAGAGGTTCACGCCACTGCTGCTGAATGTGTATAGTTGTTTGCAAAGGTTTTGGTGCCCCTTCTTCAATGACATGTTTTGTTGATTTTAAAAGTGATAATAAGTTAACACATCCTCTACAGAGAACACACTTCTACACATTTTAATACACAATTATTGTTTATTGGCAGAATTTAAAATGTTGGAAAAAAAATAAAACATCAAATATGGCCTGTGTAAAAAGTTATGGCACATTTTGTATTTTAGGTTTAATCGTTGGCCAATATGTTAAATTTAGAAAGTAAATAGAAATGATGCACTGAATTTGTTCCCTGCAGAGGATATTTTTACTTAGAAAATCAAAAAAAACATGTCATGTTCAAACTCTTGCATATGGCTGTATATCTACTAGTGTAATAATAATAATAAGTTCCATTTGTAATGCACGTTTCTTAAACCCAAACCAGTGGTTAAAACAATATAGAACAAAATCTAAATAAATCTTAGTTTATTATGAAAAACAAATATATATATATATATATATATATATATATATATAATATATATATACATACAACAAAATATCAAAAGTCCACTAAATTAATCTTAAGTAACTTTTTAAAGCATTCTAAGATAGTAGTACGCATAGTAGCATGAGGTAGGGTGTTCCATAGTCAAGGTGCTCTATAAGAGCTCTTACAGAGCGTAAAGAGCGAAAAGAAGTATAAGGCTTCACCTGGGGCACATTCAATCTCAAAATGTTGCGCAACAGTTTGCTACAGTTTCCGAATTGAACAACATATTTTGTGGAAAAGGTGTCAAATGGTGTGCAACAGTATTTCAGGTACGTATTCTCTTCTTTGATGGGCATGTCAATGGTGTTTTCCAATCAGCAGCCATGTATTTATATACTCCACCATATCAAAAAGCAGTGCACACAATGGATTCTAATAAAGGCCTCTACAAATGCTGTTGCTGCGGCTAGGTGTACCCAACCACTAAAGATGTTAGAAGATGTATTTTGAAGCATTAAATACATATTTAAACACATGTCATCTGAAACTTCTTTGAAAAGATTGCCAAGAATGGCCTCCTCAGTTGCCATATTGCAACGCTTATGTAACTGAACTGAAAATAAACTTTTTGCTACAATTTGGGGGCTGAACACAGCCCAGGTCACAGAGGTACACCACTGCGTATGTCAAAATAAAAGCTTTAAAATCAAGAGTGTAATTATCATAAATTTCTCTGAGCTGGCCTTTAAGTACATGTCATTCCTATACATATTTTTGAGGAGATTAGATGTAAGATGTTTAAGGAACAGGAAAGTCAAAAGAAAATAAGTGAAATTAACAAGAGCTGTTAAATAAACTGTTTAACTATATGGAAAAAAAGTGATTTCTAACAACCATGTGAGACTTGATAGACCATCAGATAAAGAGTACTTTTGGTAGAAACCCAGCTCCACTGTTGTTTCAGATCTGAAAAAAATCCACAGGTGTTTCTGTCCATCCTTCCACTGTGAGAAGACAACTCAACACTAGACTAGACAAAACAGAAAGATCTTGGTGTTCTCAGAACAATTGATCAACCACCCCGAGTCCACACCTCACCATCATTGCATGTGTTTTAGTTTACTTGGATCATAAGAAGCAGAAAATTGAACCACCTTCTCTTTTCGGGGCAAAATGCAGGTTTTTGTAAGTCTGGTATAATTTTATTGCACAGTTTTACAACTACATCACTTCTCCTTTTAGTCAGACAAACATACTCAGGCCTACACATCAGCAAAACAGACTAAAAACTAGTTTGTGTAAGGGTTTCAGAACAGTTACTTGTGCTCTCTCTGTGTGACTGTGCTCAGATAACTTCAGATAATCTAGTTGAACTTGCAGAAAGGATTTTGCATGTTCAAAGAAAAAGAACAGAAGATCCAAATAATGAACCATGTGTGTTGAATGTATGAGTCAGCACTGACTTATTTAAAATAGGCATTCTAATGCCCATGTGTCAAACTCAAGGCCCGTGGGGCAAGTCAGGCCCGTGGCACAACCCTCTTCAACCCGCAAAATTATTTTAATTTTCTATTATTATCAGCCAGTTTCACCCTGAGCTGCACTACAGTCCCCAGCATGCACTGAAACATAATGTCTGTTCTAACCTCCTTTCTCCAACAACAATCTATGGGCCAGCGGTTACACAAAAACAAAAGATACCTGGTGTCCAGTTCAAGCAAATCGGCAGTTTAGAAAACCTACCTCCCGGGGACATTTAAAGTGGGTTTAACAATTATCTGTAGCTAATGTAGCCTATTGTTTTATAAAAATATTGTTTTATTTTTATTTAAAATTATTTTTGAATAGTTCAGGTATTCATTGCTTATTTTACTGTTGCAGTTTTGGCATATTTTGAATGAACAATGGCCAGTTCAGGTCATGGCAAAACTTAGCTTAGCATAGAAAAACACAGCTGGCCCACAAGTTTGATGAGATTTTTAAAAAAGGCTGTTTTAGTGGTTGAGTCTGACACCGCTGTTTTAACGCATGTCACTTATATAGGGGTGGGCAAAATGATAATGTTTTATTGTTATTGTCATAAATTATGTCACAATACGCTTTTCTGAGCATGTTGTGGATATCGTCAGTACTTAAAGAACACTGACTAACCACACATTTCTTTGCAAAGTAAGCGTGTTTAATTGGATTTAGTGCAGCACAGTTTGTAAAACACTGAATAAAAACCATTGTAGGCACTACAGGTTCTACTTTGTCTGTTACAACTTATTAAATCTCAGAAAAATTAAATATTGAGATGCATATTGAGTACTGTGAAATTGTCTTGGAGTATTGTGATATAATCTTTTTGCTATATTGCCCACCCCGTACACTTCTACCACGCAATGGATCAGCAACTTAACTTATGATCTCAGTCTTTAAAAAACCTTTATGTGGTTTACTATTGGAGCATCATCATTCAAACAGATTAACTCTTAATGCTGAATGATGAATCGTGAGCATCACAGTTAAGTGTATGGAAGCTGCTGCAGAAGTGATAATGCCTGTTGGCAGTGCTAAGACTCAACACCCGCCTCCCTCTGAAAGAGAAAAGGGCTTTCTCCTTTAAGCAGTGCCACCTAATGGTCATTTATAAAATGGAGACAACAGTTAGTTTTCTGCATAATTTCAGCTCAGAAGCTGTCCTTCACAATGTTTGAAAATTTCATGATGATTGAACCAATAAAAATGCTCCAAAATTTCTTTAAATAAAATCTCTTTACATTAAGCACAGAATGTTTTTACCCTTTCCTGTAAAGTTACCATTTTGGAGATAACTGTTTTTTTTTTTTTGGACACTGACTGAGTTTCATTTATGTTTTATATAAGTATACATAAAATGTATACTTACAAAATGTACGCATAATTCAATCATTGAGATGTAAACAGATTCATTCTGAGTGGTTTTGTTGTGAAATGGTTCATTGTAGACAAACTTGCCCACTTCCTTACAGTGGTGGTGACAGGAACCAGGGGTCACAATGTCTACAACACAGATATAGCCATTTTATTCACTATCCAAAACCACCAGTAAACTATATGTGTCTCCTGAGTGTTATATGTAATGCTGATGATAGTAAAATAGTAGTAGATCTGGAAACAAAAAGTTTTATTGGGGACTGCTTTGCTTTGTTATACACTACATCAGTGGTCTCTAACCGTGGTCCTGGAGAGCTACCCTCCTGAAGAGTTTAGTTCCAACCTGTATCCAGTAAGCTGCCCTGCCTCTAATACATCTGATCCAGCCAATCAGGGACTCGGGAAGATTAGCTGGAGCAGGTGTGGCAAACTGTGACCATAATGATTGACTTTTGGAGAAATTAAAAAAAAATGGTGGAATTCCCCTTTAACATTGTTCTGCTGTGGACAGTGCTTTACTGTTGATCACACTTCTCTTCTTCCAAACGGTAACGCTTCATTATCAAGTGTAGTACAGAAAGAGAAGAATGGTGCCTATTTAACTTTAGTTCCTGTAGTGATGGATGATGGATGTTCTTAGAAGTTTTGCTGCATCTTTGTCTGCAACAATAGCATTTTTTTACCTTAACCTTTTTAGTCCCTCTTGTCAGGTTTTGGTATTTTCAATATTTCATTAAATTTACAAAAACTATTTATTTAAGGATGGTTTGAAAATACTTTTCTGACTTCTGTCTGTTACTGAAACAACTTTCTTTTAATCTGAAACTAGTCTTAACCTGAGCTCAGGAATCTGACTCATGGAGTTTTGGCTATAATAGAAAGCATTACTTTTTAGATTGATCAGATAATTCAGTGAATTTTGTATGTATCGCTTTGTAAACCTAGGAACTGCTGCCTGCTTTCACAGTATAAACCGTAGCCTGTTTCCACCAATGGAAAAAATATATAGCCATTTAGTGAGTCATAATAATAAGAAATATTTTCCATAATTAAGACATAGCATCTCGCAATTATGACTTAGTATCTCAGAATTATGACATGGCACCTCATTATTATGACTTAATGTCTCATTATTGCGAATTACTATCATTTGTGACTTACTATAATTTGTGACTTAGCATATCATAATAATGTACTGTGTCATACTTTTGACTTATTATCTCATAATTATGACTTAGCTTCCATACCAAAGCCTTGATCACTCGCATTTGAGATACTGTGAACATCAAACATTCTCACAAACATGACGCAAAAAATCACACCGAACATTTCTGGTTTTTTTTTGTTTGTTTTTTTTTGTTTTTTTTGTTTGTTTTTTGCTAATCTGCAAGGCACCTCAGGAGCAGGAGCGCTGATCTTGATTTACATCGGCCGTCTTAAATACGATTCAGCTCTCTAACCGCTTTGAGCCGCTGAACTGTGGCGTTAATCGGGTTTACTCGGCTGATCCGGGATCAGCGCTGCGCTTCAAGCGCCGCCCAATCAACGCGCGCAACCAATGACAGATGACAACATCCGGGTAATCTGAGAGAGCGGGAGGTTCAGGAAGAAATGTCGACATTTCATTGAGAACGGCAGACGACCTTCTGAACGCTGTGGTCGCAGGTCGGTGGCTTAAATGAGTTCACTTCATTTACACAGTGGGATATATTAGCAGGGTTGAAGTCCGAGGCTGTAAGAGAGCTGAGTTAAGTTAGCTGGTCAGCTTCGTGCTTGTCGTTCCGCGGATAACGTGATTAACACAGGCTAACTTACTGAAGTGACAGTGAACTGGTGACGGTGAGGGATTTGTAGCAAAGCTTGACATCCACACTTAGTCTAAACTACACAACGAGTCTCACAAAGCAGTGATATAGTTAGAGGACATAACGTTAGTGTTCACTGTTTGTGCTGTAAAAGGAGGACTCGTTATATTGTATGTTTTTTGTTACTAGTTCTGCGTTGTGGCCAGTGCAGGACGCTTGTCTAAAATAACCGTTGGACAGACTTAGAGTAGCCTAAACCCATAGATTGCTCGCTTACTCATTTAAGTAAAAGTAAAGTACTTCTAATGACTCAGGTAAAAGTGAAAGTAGATGGTTTTTTTGTTTGTTTTTTTTTCCAAAAACAGGTTGCACATACTTAAAGGGGAATTCAACTGCTTTTTCAAAGTTTGTGCTTAACTAGCTAGCTAAATGGTTAAGCTGTAAATACAGTCATTCAGAGTGATTTGATTTGAAATGCTTCGTTCTAGAAAAATTTACCAGAATTATTCACAGTGGTGGTGATAGGAACCAGACGTCCAAATCGTTTAATGCCTCTAAAAGCTTTCTCACAGAAAGTTACTACATTAGGTTATATGGTTACACATATGCTGCCTGATGTCTGAAGCATTGATATGCTGAAGTTATGAGGTGGGATTTGACCTAAAACATATATATTTTTAAAAAAACATTCATGGTTGAGGGGTATATGTAGTTAGAGTGTTGTGAGGTAAAATAGGCCCCAAAGAAAATATTCCATGATCAACATTACATGTAGAAAATTCAGAAGACGTGTAGGTTCACTGATCATTTCAGATAATAAAATAATTTTTTGCGTTGTGGACATAGTGACCCTTGGTTCATATCAACCCCTGGTTCATATCAACCCCACTCTAAAGTTGTCCAGTTTGTCTACAGTGAATCATTTCACATCAGATGTCTCTGAATGAATTATACAGAAATTTTGAAAAAAATTGGTGAAACATTTTACAGTTTTCACCAACAAAACTTGAAATGAAACACCAAAACGCATCAGTAACTAAATGTAAATGGCTGAGTCCTCAATATAACTGAGTAAAACGCAGATTACTTTACCTCACAAATGTGCTTGAGTATAACTAAAAATGTTCGCATTTGAAAATATTTGGAAAAGTACAAATCCATTAAACGTATACTTGAATAAATCTAACTGCAAATATAACTAATAACTCACCTCTGCCAGTCAGAAGGACAGATGCGCTGCCAGCATTGTAGCATTCACTCTGAGGAAAGCTTCAGATGTTTTTTAAGACATACGTTAAAAACGTAATAGTCGATAGTTCAGCAGATGCACAACATGCTGCTGAATATCTGCATATTATGAAATAACTGGGTATGAAATAACTAGTTTCAGTTTTTTTTTAACTTGTAGTGTTTTTCAGCAAGTTTCTATACAGCTCAAACAATGTCCTCATATTTCACAAGGATTTACAAAATCTTCCAAAATACAGAAATATCCTCTTAAAACATATTTTTAACATAGTCATGATAAAAATTGTTGCATACTGATGCGTTTTATCAAAATTTGCGTTCTTTTCCTGGCTTTATAGTATATAATTTTAGGCTTTCATATTATAGGATAGGCGTATCTGCAGGGTGAAAAACCTTATGTTGTGCTCTTAAACATCATCTGGGTGTTATGGGTGGAGGGACAGGAGTAACTTGGGGAAAGTAGCTGTCTCTGTATTGCTGAGCCACCAAAAATGTGAAATTAATATCTAGTTTTGCAAAATGGTGGCACCCAGTGGCCAGCTGGAGTTACCACAGATTAAACAAATGCTGATGTTAGTCATTTGTTGGCAACTGAAGGCTTTAATTTCAGCAACATTAATTTTATTAACAGTTCTGTAAGTTATTTGTTTTAAAGATGGTTAAGGTTTTAAGTAAGTAGAAACTTATTCCAGTTAAACTTTTAAATTTTATAAATAGTGTATAAGTAGTAGTTGTACCCTTTTTTCCTGCAAAATGGTGAAAACTCTGCTGTATGTGCAGCTCTTACACTTTGATACGAATAATTAAACTAGCTAGGATGTAAATATTCTGACCAGTGATAAGTCATGTGTCTTCCCTCCAGTGGTATTTTGGACAGTTATATGAGTTTGTTTTAAAAAAAAAAAAGTTTAAAAGACTCAGCAGTGCAGTCCATTTTCTCAAATACGGTGGGGTACAATATTCTGAGACAACACTGAAAACTTGGGATTTTCTTCACTTAAACCTGGAAATAAGCAACAGAAAGTTTTTTTTTGGAAAGTTATAAAACAAAAAAAAAAGTTAAAATGTATTAAATCTTTGACACTTTTTCAATTAAATATTAAAATTAATTATATTATTTGTTATTAATTAATATTTGTAACATTAAGCAGGTTAAAGCCTTTGGGGAATTATTCTTATGTTGCCTTTAAGCCCGCCTTGAAAGTTCCTTCTTACAACTTTGGAGGTTGTGAGTATGATGTGAAATATGTTTTTGGTCGGAAACAAGTGAACTAAATTAAGAGCAGAGGATGCGCATTAAAAGCGCTATTTTTATCTAGTTAGAAGCACTGCATTTTTCACAGGTGGAGAAGAGTAAGACTCACCCTGCAGTGCTCATCTGCGGCTGCTGAACGGCTAAAATACAATTTACACAACAACTGACTGCAACTACCATTACCTTTTTTTGTTGTCATGCCCTCAACTCGGAAAGTTAGGTCTCTTTGAAAAATTGAGAGTTTCCCCATTAGTAATTACAACGTTGTGGTGGCGCTAATGTGCACTCATCTCATAAATTTGATATTTCCGACTCGAAGGTCGCATTATCATTTCCACTGAAGCTCATGTTCAGACAACTCTTGGGATGGTTTGATCTGCTAGTCAGAGGCTTTTACACAAAGTACTCAACTCAAGCGCAAGCTGTCATTAAAGCAAAAGAGGGACATACTAAATACTAAGAGATGCCGAAACATTACAATTTCAGATACTCTACTTTTCACTCATATTGTTATTACACATTAAATTGTTAGCATAAAAACTTTTTTTTTTAATAAGAATGGAGCCCATAATCAGAGCATTTGAGTCCTAGTGCAAGTAGTGTGATGTCCTTGTTGCTGAGGTAAGGAGGGCAGAGGAGCTAAAGAAGACTCAAAATTAAGGGGCTGAGGCGAGGGATGCACTGTCATGGGAGTTGTGGGCTGAGAACAATATTTTGCTTCAAGATCTGTACCAATATTATATTCAAACTATATTTATGTACACATCCACCGAGGCCGGTACATAAGCATTTCTAAAATGTAGAAACTGGGACTAGATTCACTTTGATTAGTATTACAGAGAAATGTCACATTGTTTTTCTATACAATTACAAAATGCAGTAAATAAAGTACAGGTGTTTTAGCTCAGTAGCCCAGGGTCACCTGAATGTTCTGGTCTTCCAGAAAACAATAAATATGTCATCAAATATCAGTTTGAAATGTTGATTAATTCTAAACTTCTGCCCAATGCTGATCATTTTATCTTAATTAGTAGAGTTTCAGCTAATTTTCTGTTAACAATAGACAGATTTAAATGTACTTGGTTTTCAAATTGGATATAAGGTATTAGGATTTCAGATGACATCGGTTGAAGGAAATCTTTGTTCCCCAGTGTGCTTCACAGTATAAATATATTTCACATTATAATTGAACAAACACATTCAAACCAAAGTAGATGACATGAGAGCAGTGGGATTGCTTACAGAACCAACAGTGTTACATTTTTAAGTTTCTCAGTTTATCTGGGATCAGGACTGACCTATCCAGAATCTTTTTTTATCATGGAATCTGTTAAACAGATCCTGTCTTCAGAGCAAAAAAAGTCCCAACTAATTGTATTTGAATACATAAACCCGAGGCGCTATTTTAGACCATGCATCAAAGTTGGCTGTATTGCTTCGTCTGCCAAAGCTACTTCTTTTTGACTTATCATCTCGACATGTTTGTTCGTTATTTTGGTTTAATGATAAAAAAAAAAACTGCATGTAATTACATGTCGCCTGACCCATGGGGGCTTTCCAGCAGGGGTGATGGCAAGACATTAAACAACTCGACGTTACGAGGCGATCATAAAAACAGTCTTTTGTTGTGTCCTTGGCAGACCTGTCATTAAGCCTAAAACAAAATTACCCACGATCACCAGCTCCTGCACTCACAAGTTCAAGGCCTCTTTCTTCACAGCCATTTTCTTCTCGTTAGCTTCAGAAGGACGGACCGGATCCGGGCGTCTTGCGTCACAGCGGGTCTCTGCAATGTCACTGTCATCCTCGTTGGGCTTTGTTAATTTGTCAGAAATGCTTGTGCACTGAGTTCGGAGGCTACTGGAAGTTTAGCGTAGAGTCCAGCAGACTTTATTGCGCTGCCCAGTGCCGGGGTATTAAAGAGTCCCTTTTTTACTGCCCTGCTAATGAAATACAAGGTGATGACAAATTCAGACAGCCCAGCTGGGCCACACATTTTCAACTCTTTTAATTTTCTGATTATGGCCCCTGTCACTTTAGAACCTACATAAAGACATCATTCTTATAGTCCTGCTCCCCCAGCTCCTCTCTCATGGTGGGTAATGACCTGTTGAAGCTAGCTGTGCTGTCACTGAATGACCTTTTTGAGAATCCATAACCCCCACCAATCATGCTCGCACATCTGAAAGTAAGGTCAGACCACACTGTGCGGGTGCTCCACTAGAGAAACGGAGCAATGATTTTTAAACTTATCATTTGGTTTAGGTGTGAGTTCAGATTGTGAATTTGAATACTAATCTGAGTTTATTTGTGCTCCTGCAGACATTAAGCCATGGCTGCACTCCCCGACCATCAAGTATCGTTCTGGATGGACAAAGCAGTGAAGTGGGGCCAGGCTACATCGCCCTCTGCTCAGCTGGACACAACCAGGCACCTGGACTGTCTGAGGAGCTTCCTTCAGCAGCTCCTACAGACACTGCAGCTAATGGTAGTGCCATAATGCCTTACTACATTACATACACGATTAACAATAAAGGTGCCAAGAAAGGTTATGTGGGGTGATGCCAAAGAATGAAAGAAAGAAGTTTTCAATGAATGGTACTTTAAAGAACCATTTTAGTAAGTGGGATCTGAAACTCCACCTCCATGTTATGGTTCTGTACCTGTTATAGGGAAATTCCACCATGTTTTCAAAATTGACACATAATCCAGTTGTCGAGGTGTACAGAATCATTCAGAGTCGGCTGATGCTAAATGGTGCGTGCGGTTGAGCAGATGTTGCTTTGAGAGGTATTAAACACTTTGGGCATCTGGTTCCTATCACCACTCTGCAATTTTCTCCAGAACAAATTACTTTTTTCACATTTTTGTTTACAGCAATGTAATTAAACCGGACTTTTATGAATAAAATTGCTGGAAGTCCTATTTACAGATTCTTCCTAGAACTGTACATCCAAGCCAAGATACATTTAGGAATCTTTTTTTTAAGATGCTGAGCAAAATTGGTGTGGGTAATTTTGTGCCAGAACTTCTGAGAAGTGAATGTTTGCTCACTACCAAGCCTCTTGGGGCAGTAAATAATAATTTAGTAATAAATTAATAATAAATTAGTGATTTATTCTTATTAGGAGTATTTTGAATGCTTATATTGTTTGAACAGCTACAGCGATTTCAAGAAGGGAGGTATGTTGATATCAAAATCATGTTGTATCAGCAGATATTTTATTAAATCTTTAGATTTGACTCTTTTCTAACAATATTTGCTTTTTTTATTATATTTTTAATTTATTTTGTTGTATTTATTTTACTCTATGAAAGTTTAATCTCTGGGTCGCTGGGCTTTTGCAGCATTTTGTTTATTTTACTGCACTTAAATCTCTCTGCAAATAACTAATATTTCTATATTAGTTAGCTAGCTATGTTATAGCTAACATTTCTTTGTATTGTTAATCTAGTTGGATATAGTAATATATCCAGTAATTTAGAATCTGCGTTTGGTAGATATGTGCGTGCTAAAAAAGAATCATCAGATAAAAGCATCAGTGCACAATTCTCATATCGATACACTCCTAATTTCAACCCTCAGTGATTTAATATTAAATGACCTGAAACTAAGACTGTTTTGTAAGATGCTCAAGAAGACCAACAGATACACAAACAGCTACAATGGTAATGAAATTTGATTGGACCTGGAAACATTGTACATTAATTAATTAATTTATTTATTTATTAAATATGACTGCATATTGATGGAAATCAGATATCGTTCATGTTGGTTTCTTAGATTTATCTGAACTTGCACAAGTGCTAAGGTGAAATGAACAACTAGAGAATTTTTGTGTTGTTGAGTAAACAAAGACTGACTGTGTGGTGCGGTGTAATAGAATTCTCCCATCAGTCTTCAGCATTAAGCCTACGATAGGGTCCTTCAGCTTAGAGGCTCAAGTGGACTGTGACTGTACTCTGGAGACCATGGCCCTAACAGAAGCCTCTCTGTGCTGGCCCAAGCAGGCCATTGGCACGGCCACAGTGTTGAGTTAGTGGGCTAATAGCCACCGAGGGACTGGCAGCGTTAACCTAATGTATCCCTGCATGAAGTGTTTGGATCAAAATTTGGACGAGAAAGCAAAAGAAGGGGGGTGGGTCGTAGGTCTCTCTGAAGGTCCAGTGTTCAGAAAAAGTCCTGCCTCACACCGTCCATGTTCACCTTGAAAGGAGCCCTTTCTTTAGCGTGGAACAGCTTAGCACCCCAGGAGCTCTCTCTGCTGTATATGTCCGTGTTGCCTCAGCGCCTGCCGCCTTGGAAAGGAAAACAAGTTTGCCGTTGTCAGGCTTTCTAATTTCACCCGTTACAATGACAGCCCTGCCAAGATGCAGTTATACAGTTATAACCCCCCACCCCTCCGTTTTCATCACTCTCAGCATGGGTCAGCCCAACGTGACCGGGTTCGGGATCTCTTAATTGGGCAGAGAGCCTTTTCCCGGCACAGGCTTGTAAAGACGGAGGTCGAATCAACTGCTCCTCAGCTGCGCCGCTGTTGATGACTTAAAGACTTTCTCGTGGCTCTTGCCTGAGGAAGAGAAAACATATATATTCCAATTTCTATCAATTTCCTCATTTGCATTCCATTAGGGCCGGGGAACTGTGGCAGTTGAGTTTTTCCCTGCTGCGGAGAAGGAAGGTCCGCAAGCATTTTTTTTCTCCCCAGCTCTCCACTGCTCGCCCCCCCAAGCTTCAGCTCAGTGGGTGCTTGTTGGCCGAGGGCCCGCATCAGTGATCTTGGAGTGGGCCATGAGAGTCATATCAGAGAGAATCGTGTGTACTGTATGTGTATATTTCATGTTTACCGATTTGCTAATGTGCTTACATGACTTTTTTCCCTCCATGTAATAGGACTTGTGTGGGCTACATGTACTGTAGGGATTATGTCAACAGTATGGCATGGATACTCATTTATTTATTATTCGTCCAGTAAATGAAGTTATATTGCTGTTGTGTGCTATATATTCTGTAAATTAATTGTAACCATAATAATTATCTGACTAACCTTTGTTTACCTGAGTTTTGATAGATGTTTCTGGCATCATAACCTTTCCATCACCTAATGTTTAGTGGGCTGTATGGTAGGGCTGGAAAGTGTGACAGTGTTTATCATTGTTGTGATAAATTACAATCACAATATACTTCTCTGAGCGTATCACTAACATTGTTAGTACTTATAGAACATAGACCAATTGCATGTTTCATTATAAGAAGAGCATAATTGGTCCTGTTTAATTAGATTTAGTGCAGTGTAGTGTGTTGATCATTGAATAAAAATCATTTGATTCATAATTTCTGATAGAATTTCTTTATATCGCTTCTGTCGGAATAAAACTCCGTTATATCTCCATTGTTGTATTTCAGTTTTTGACATAATTTGAAAATGCCTGTTGCTCTTTACACTGTGTTTATTTCATGAAAAATGGACCAAAACAAATGGCTCAGAATTACTTGGAAAGAAGTCCTTTGATTTGATTTACATTAAAAGTACAGTATGTTTTTTCCTTTTCCTGTAAAGTTGTCATTTTGGAGAGTTTTATTCCAACAGCAGTGATATGTGGTAGGGATGCGCAGTGATATTGGAATCACACTGGTATCCACAGCTTATAATGAAAAATGTTTGCATCAGAAAGATGTTTAGATTTGACTGATATTTCAAACCAATTTTTGATGATGTATTTATTTATAGGTGATGCTGAGTTACTGTGCTAAAATGTGAGCATCCTTTTCATTTTACTGCATTTGGAACTCTACAGAAATATGTTATATTTGTCTATAATGCTGATCCAGGTAAATTTAGTCCCAGTTTTTACATCTCATATTTGTGTGTATCAGTGTGTAGATATGTACTTGAAAGATATTGGATATCAGCATCAGCCCCAATTTCAGTATCAGCGCAGACCTAAAGTGTGGCACAATTGGTGGATTTTTGTCTGTAACAAATGACAAACATTGTGAAGTAACTAAAATGTCACTGATACCTGGTATTGCTATGTGGTCAAAAGTGTTGGGTGGGATAGTAGAAGGAAAAAGGAGTGTGATCCTGTAACTGATCTAGCATTTTCATATGAATAATAAAGTCAGTGGTTTTGTGGAGGAGTATAGAATTGGAATTGGGTAGTATCAGGATCGACAGTTTGTTGCTCCACACAGTCAGCAACTGGCCAATGTATTGTTTGATTTTGGCCTGTCTGTGTTTTATGAAGTAAATAATAATTTGGCCGATCAATTTTGTGAAGTAAATAATGTAACAGGTACATGCATTCACACTGTACACCTATACCAAAATGTCGTAAAAGTTTGCATATAAGACTCATGGTTCTAAGTAAGAGCCCCGTTGCCTCTTTATTTCGATGTGGCACTTTATTTGATTCATGTTATTTAAATTGGCAACAGATTTTTCATTAAATGATTCAAATGCTAGTTTAGCCAATTAAAGAGCAAATAATGTTATTTATATTGTGACTTTGTTAGTAGGAAGTTGTGAAAATGTGCTGGTGTTTTTATGTGTTCATTTATCTCACACAGTGTGATGCTTCAGGTTAAAAACAAAGGCTAATAAAAATTGGCCAGAAAACATTTTGGCTGTAATGAAGTTGGAATCAGCAGTAAAAATTGACCTCAATTTTGTGTACGTCATGTAGTTACCTGTGTACTTGTAGATGCCCATCTTAAGTGAACTGATTCAGTTAGAAAGTAGATCATTTTAAAGCTTAGTAGTTTTTAAAGACAAAGTATCAGCATTGGTATTGGAAACAAAAAATTAGTGTAATGCCATCCCTTTATAATGGCATAACATAGCCAATCAGAATAAATGCATTTCAGACATGGAAAGCTTGCTTATTTATTTATTTGTTTGTTTGTTTGTTTATTTATTTATTTATTAGTTTGTTTATTTCTGACATTCATTTTATCTTTTGATGCTAGGCATTCAGTGCTGTTCTACCCATGACCATTTTTATAAGTCAATGTTAATATAGCTAAACATTCTTTTGAGGTTTTATCATTCAGTTCACACATACATCAGTCAGCATCACGCGGTGTGTGTGTATATGCATAAGGCGTGATTAAAAAAGAGGCCCCTTCCTTTGAATGGGTTCCAATATACAGTAAATTAGCAGCGCACATCTTGAACTCATGCAGAGAGCTGCGATCCTCGAGATTCCTCGGTGTTAGTGAGCTGGTTTTCATTAATTACGTAACTGTCTTTAAAGAAGTGATCAGTGACTTTATCCGTCTGGCTGCGTGGGAATAGTTTTATAAAGCCTATCAAAAGCCTTTTGTTGGCTCTAGCAATCCTGACGGGAAATTAGGATTAATTGTTCATATTAGTTGTTGGTATGTGTCTTATTCATTATATGGCTTTGTTACTTTCAGTCTGATTTGCAGGAAAAAATACAATAAATCAGCATCAGAAAGCTTAGTCACAGTGATATAAATGTGCGAATGGATGTCTGCATAGAAGTTTGAGCGGATTAGTCTTGCCATTATCACCATGCTGTTGTTGTTATTGTTGCATGGGTTCATAAGATGTGTCTGTGTGTGCTGTGTTTCAGCGCTCTACCACTGAGGCCATGAAGAGCCTTCCCTTTGTGGGCCAGTTCCTGGGAAGACTTTGCTGGAACCCATATGTTACTGCGGATGGTAAATTTACGACTCTCCTACTTGCTAGGGGTGTGTTTCCCATTTGGGACGAAGAAATGGGTCTGCAGGGGTTGGGTATTTACACTCATTTTCCAATGAGCCCTGTAGCAGCCTGCTGGGCATTTGTTCCCATTTTTACTCTCTCTCTTTCAGTCTCTCTCTTGCTCTCTCTCTCTCTTTATGTCTCTCTCTCTCTGTCTGTTTCTCTCTCTCTCACTGCCTTTTTTTGTCTGTTGCCCTTTACTCTGCCTCCATTTCTCTTTCATCCAAGATCCATATATTTTTCCCTCCACTTATGTACATTATCACTCTGAACACATGAACTGTGTATTTAAACTATCTAACGTTTGTGTGAAGAGCAAGACACATTTGCAGCTTTTTAACACCTCTTTCTGTTGAATCCTTTGTGTCATTCAGGAGAAAGCCGGAGGCTTCTGCTGCAGTGTGTGTGGTGTTTGTATAGCGCAGAGCCAAAAAATGCAGTGGAGCGCCGGGCCAACGACTGGATACGGGTACAGTTCTCTAGTCTTAAGTAACTATAATCTCATTAGGTATAACATATAACATCGACCAACATTGAGATGCTGTGAATCTCTCATTACTGGTGAATTCCAGCTAACGAAGCACCGGTAATTAGTGTCTTATATTGTAACCATTAATGTGAAGAAAAGTTTTGAGCATCTGACAGTTTCTCACTCATCTGTCTTTTTAGAAACTGCTGAAGTGTCAAGCATCATCTGCTCAGCCAGTAAAGCACTATTTAGTCAAATCCAGTTTTATTGTCATTCCTCCTCGCTGCTGACATATTAAGTACCAAACGAAAGATAGCTCCTCTAGGACACGATGCTACTGATAACTTTAGACAGCAGCTGACAAGCAAGGTAATTAATACAATAAATACAGGCAATAAACTATACAAAACACTATACAGCAAACTATAGCACATAATATACAAGCCATACAACTATTGAGCACAGGGCAGTGGATGCTATGCAGTAAATAGTGGATGATATCGTAAGGGGATTCCTGTTGTCCATGTGTTATTAGCAGTGCACACTGATATCTCCCGTAAAGTGGTTGAGTTTAGTCCAACAACTTTCCAGTGGTTTTCAGTACATTAATTCACTTTTTGGAGTTTTTTAGAGGAAAAAAAATACCAAATGTCCATTACTGTCTCCAAACCAAATTTCCACACACCATTTAGACAAATAAGATTAGGGGGCAAAAGGAGTGAAGACAAAAACAACAGGCTTTTTAAAGTTCACACAGATGGTTTACCATAAGCAATATGGAACCTTTCACCTATGCCAGATTGATTGTTTTTTTTCATCTAATAAAACATTGGGCTAATTAAAGCAGGCCTTTTAAAGTAAACTCCTAATTTGCCAGATGTTTTTTGACCTATACGAAAGGAAGTGGAGATGGAGGGATGTGTGGATGCTCTGTGAGGGGCTGTGCTATGGTGTTTTGTTTTACAGTATTTATTTGCTTAGCTAACTGGCTCTTGTGCCACAGTAGGTAGAATGCAGCATGTGGGGAAAAAGGCCTGCGGCGTAAAGGAGCGAATGGGTAAAGACACGGGATTAGCTGTATGTCTGGAAATTCTAAATGATGTCTGTCTTGGTAGGATCGTACATGCAGAGAGTTGTTTTGGTAATTAGACTTGGGAGTTCATGTATTCGAGTGAGAGAGGACTAAACAGACACAGTTCTGCTGATCTGGGTGATGTTTGGTGCCTTTGTGGTAACTGGTCATGTTTAATTTTTACAATTGTTTTTATGATTAGGCAGACAGTTACAAGGCACGGTGGAGAACACAAAGCCCAAGCATTCCATTTAAGATGTATGGCAAATTTTGTGGCTGAAATTCTTCACCACATGTCCCTAAACCTCATGGCTCTCCAAGATTAGAGCAAAATAGTTCAGTTTTCTATCTTTATGTCCTTTGTGTGTTTCCAAAAAGTCCAGACGAATGGTGATTTGTTAAAGTAACAGAACACTTTTTGGTGCTTCATGGAACAATCTATGTAGGGTTAGTTAAATAATGGAAAATAATTTTATATTATATCTCTTTCTGCAGTGTAGCTCCCCCAAATTTTACATGCCTTATCTGAAAATTTGTTTATATTTTACATCTTACGTTATATATTAAATTAGGAGTAATTCTTTTCAGTTGTATTTAAGCTGAAACATCAAGACTACAATGACTGATTAATAGTGGACTTCATTGTGGGCCAAGACTTCAATTATTGATTAAAAGTGGAGTCAATGGTGGACAAAGCAGTAGGTATGCATGGTCAGATTCTGCAAATTTTTCCTCAAACTGTGATCAACAGTCAACCAATTTAATATTTTTTTGTTCAATCTATGTTGCAAATTTATGACATACTGTGAAGGAAAACAAGTATTCAGGCA